GCAGGTGTTGACTGCATCCAGACCAGTAAAGCACACTGTAAATGTATTTCTCGTACACATGAAGCACACACGGCGAARCAGAGTGTGCTTGAGGTGGCAAATTCAAATGTTTTTCTGATATGTTTTCAGCAAGTATTTTGAAGCAGTGCTGAAATGAGATTGGTTGTGGATGTGTGCAGGCACTGGTGTTTTACAACCTTGTTTTTTTATTTATTTTTTCCAGCAGAAAATGTCCCCTTCTCTGTGGTTTTTGCGGTCATTATGAAACCTCTATTTACTTGCTGTGTACCTCTGGAGATAACTTGTATGTCAGCTTGATTGACAGTCTGTTAAAATAAGGTATGGGACATTTATTTCAGCTTATATAGAAGTCATCTAACTTCTATTGGGTTTGAAATGGTTGTGCAAATGTATTGTATGGGACTATATGTTATATTTGCATTTTATTAATTTTCATTTCAGTTTCAGACGTTTGAGTACTTGTAACTTGGACAAAACTATAAAACTAGTCTTCTTAAACATTATTTATTAAGCTTTTTTTGGTAACATTTGTGCATTATATTTGTTTTATAAATATATTTAAAAAATACATAAATGTTAAAAACAAGGGACAATCTGTGTAGTGGTCTCTGAGACTTCTCTTTTACCAAACAAACTTTATTGTAGAACTGCTTGAGGTGATGCTGAAAGATTTACCCAAATCTCAATAAGTACCTGAAAAAGAACCTCCAAAAATCACTCATTTATTGCTGTCCTGTGCAGGCATGATACCAACCTGTCCTTTATTATCAGATTTGGTTCATGAAGGCATCATGGTGAGTGAGAGAGTGAATGGTTGTTTCTCTGGTGACCTTACAGCCTGTCGAGCGTGTACCCTGCCCCTAGCGCAGTGACTGCTGGATATGGACACCAGTGACCCTGAAAGGAAGGAGTGGGTAAAAGATAAGGGCTGGATGTATGGTTCATCAGAGAGTTTTTGGGCTGCAGTGCAAGATTTCAACACTTTACGAAGGATTAGAAACTGACGTTGAAACACTGAAGAATCTCTTTAGTGTGCTCAGACAACACTGCAGGTGTCCCTGAGATCAGGGCTATCCAGCTAAATTGCTAAGGGGGCCACAGTCACTGAAACCAACAGCTCAGCTGTGGGATATTCAGAAA